ACTTCGGATACCTGTAGGACGTAAGATTCCCTAAGGTTGTAAAGTCCGACGATAAGGAAGTTACTTACCGCAGTAAAAGAACTTAGATATATTACGTGAAGTAATCAGAGAAGATTATTCCCGGTGAAAATGTAAATACTAATCTATCAAAAGGGTCAATTAAGTCAGAATATTTTAAATGTTTAAAAAGAATTATGAATTTTTATTTTTAATAGAGATAAATAAAGTTTCTATTTAATTGTATATAAATTAACTGGTTTGTATTTTAACCTTAAATTCTTTTAAGATTTAGGACCTTTGTTAGAAAATTGTAATACTATTTATGATAAATTGATAAAAATAATAACTAAAACACTGTCCATTTTCAAGAATAAAAAATAACTAATAGCTTTTATTGAGTAAAAAGAATAGAGGAAAACTTTACATTAATTATATAAATGATAGAAGAAGTTAAAAAATATAGAAGAAAAGAATAATGCTATATATGTGAAAAGAATATACTAATAATACACAGTTTTTAATTAATATAATATTTCAAAAATAATTTAGAGTAAAAAAATTATTGTATTATGTTAAATAAATAGTAATTTAAAAATATCTGTTTTTTAAAATTTCATACTTAAAGAAAATACTATATAAAAAAAAACTTTAAAATCTATTTAATATTTTTAATATTTATTATAAATACTGAATAAAAAAAATTTATTAAAATAAAATAAGATTTTAATTTTGAATTTAATAGAATAAACTTACATAAAAAAAAAATTTAAAAAAATAGATAATAGAACAATAGAACAAATTTTGATATTATTCAACTAAATAATTTAATATTACAATTTTATTACTATATTGATCATGTGATAGTGATTTTTTTATGGTGATGCTAAAGTGGTTCTTCAACTCTACTAAATCAGCTGATTTCTATTATTTTTCTAATCAAATAATAATGAATTGATTATTTGATTTTTAGGTTTTAAACATATATATTTATTATTTCATAAAAGACAATAACATATAAAAAGCTAAAAAGTTAAATTAATTATTTTATTTTATAATATGATTTTTATATGATTTGTTTTTATATGATTTGAGTATTTATCACACTTCTTTCTGATCCTTCATTAATTTATATACTGTAACGTTGGTAATGTTATTATGATGTATTAATTTAGAAATTTACTACTTTTTAACTATTTTTATTACCTAATAATATGAATAAACTGTTGAAAGTATAAATATATCTGATTAAAAAACTTCAATATTATAACTATTAGCTTTTTATTAATTCTATTATTTAGTAAAATTCATCTAATAATATATTATTTCTTATTATTTAATTTATTTTTTAATGAATTAAAGACTCTATCAATAATTATTTAAGAGTAATTCTGATTTTTGAAATGATTAAAAATAGCTAATATGTGTTTTTTATTATGTAATTACTAGTAAACTAATTAAATGTGCTTTAATTTTACCACTATTTGTATATAAGATCTAAAATAAAATATTATTATTTTTGTATTATGAATTAAATTCTTAAAATATCTTTAATTAAAGGTTAAGAATATAAGAATTATATTTAAGACAAATTATATTAGAATATTTTTTTTCAATATTTTTATATACTACTTTTATTACATTAGTTATATCTATTATAACTGCTGAAAACTTTTGAATACTAATAATATAATAATATTTATTTGTTGAATTATTTGATTTATAATCTATTCTGTTATTTAAAATTCTTTGCTTGAAAAAATTGAAAAGTTTTGAAATACATATAACAAAATTATATACTGAATATTAGATCACCATCAGAAATTATACAAAGAGTTGGATTTATTCATCTGCTTGGATTTTTACATCTTCATAAACTTTATCTAATAATTCATCAGCAATCTTTCTCCTATTTAGAAGTTTAAAGGATAATTTAAGATAATTACAAAATTGAATAATAAATGGATTTCAATAAATGTAAATGGAATATAATGCTTATGTTAGTGAGTTTCTTGTTCTTTTTCTTTCATACTATCAACAAAATTATCTAATTTGATTTGTTTTTTTGTTTAATGAAAAGATGTTTTTATATAAGTTGAAGGTTGTTCTGTAATGTTGAAAGGTATAATATTTTGTGTTAGAATGGATTTAGCACTATTTGATGCATTTAAACACTCATTACATTATTAAGATGAGCTTGCATTCTTAAAGGAACAGCCTAGTTAAAAACTTTAGAACAATAATTACATTTAGAGAAGGATGTAAACTTGATTTAATATCTTTATTTCAATTGAATTTTTGTGTAAAAGTTGTCCAATAGTTCCAAATAGATCCACCATTTTTTAACATTTTTTTTTAAAAAAAAAACTAAAGAATTTATCGGAAACGTACTTCAAAAAGTATAAAAAGTATCAAGTTTTTTTTAATAAACCAACTATTTATATATATAAAAAGGTAAATTTACATATACAAACTTTTTCAAATTATCGTAACGAAAAATAATTGTTGATAAAAATTTCTTTGATTTTATTGGTCTTATGTTAATTAAACCCCATTCCTAATATCCGTTCAAAATTTTATTTTTATTTCAATTTGAATTTTCATAAGTTAAAATTGTTTTAAATTTCCCATAAATTGGGCGTGGTAAAATATAAAATAGAACATGCAAATAAATTTTTGATACCAAACATTATCCGAATCCTTCTAGCACAATCACTTTCGAGATGGCATAAAATGTATTTCCCTTGGTTGAATAGACGTTATCATTTTCATATTCCTTGATCATTCAAGGGGAATTCAAACAATGTCCATTGCATTCAGTGTTGTACACGGACGTTGTCCCGGTGATTTTTGGCGGACACAGGACGTCCGAAAGTCCATGTCCGAGACTGTGTCCGCAGGACAGTTGGGACATGGACCGATATTAGATATCTTTTGGCCAGAATTAACAAGAGATATGGCCAGCATTAATGCGGACAAAAAGTCCCGGACATAAAAAAAATCTCGGACATGGACACGGACAGTCCGGTCCGGTCTGGTCCATGTCCGTGTCCGCGTCCCATGACAACACCGACTGCATTGGCCTTGCGGACATTTAGTTTGAATTCTAGTAATTTGGACTTTTTTTATCAATTTTCTAAAACACACAGAACAATTGACCTAAATTTGTGGGTTTTTCCGTGCTCTTTATAAAGAAGATAAATTAGCTACTATGAGTTAATTGCTAGAGATCTAGATCTATTTCCAAAAGTCATGGAAGAAAATACGAAAAAAAATTTATATATGATTTTTTGCCGATCAAATACACAATTCACGCGATATTAAAAACATAAAAACATTAAATACACAGTTTAACCCCACATATCCAAGTTAGTTTTCCTATTAAAATATAAAGATATAAATACGATTAAAAATCCAATAATGATGAAAGTAGATTTGTTGTTAAACGAATTTTTGTTATTAGGTTTATTCGGAATGTTTGTTTTACACCATTGTAAAATCTAAAAAATATTCTTGGTTAAAGGTTCATGCTTAATATATAAATATATACGAAATAGATGATATTACTACCTGATCACCGACAATATTAATGTTCGTAAAGTTTGGATCTAATGGATCGTTATTCTTTTTCATGATAACTATAGTATATTCTTCAAAAAGTCTTGCAACTTCGTGCATATCAGTACATTGAATGACCAACTATGAGAATGGATGAATTTTACACGGTTATACCAAAGGTCTTTCCAATACAAGATTTTAAATTAATTTTCCACCTACCTTTGCAATTTCTCCTTTTCTAATTTTTATTGAATTTTCAACGGCAAAAACCGCGTGATTTTTAAAGGCTAAAGCTAAAGTAGCATAAGCCACAATTAAAGGTTTGGCAGCAAATCCGAATATTAACATATCTTCACCATTTACTTTAATTAAGTAATTTAAACAATCTATAACATGTAATAAAGTGTTGAATATCATTTCTGAAAGACAATAAATCGAAACCATTTTATTTTTGGGTAAAATCAATTCTTCAATTTCTTCGACATATTTAGACCAAATTTGCTTTGGCCAATATCTTCGTTTCTCCATCAAATCTTCTGTTAAATCTCGTAATATGTTTATTTTTTGTAGAAATATTCCCATGGACGTTATACTTTTAATAAAATAAAAATAAAATAAATATAATATATATTAAGTAAATACGTACTTGCTTATTACTTACGTTTTGTAATTTTTTGATGTATAAGGAACTTTAGCTCCTGTTGCAATAAATAAATCATTTAAACCAATTCCAACTAATCCAGCAACATAATAACAATAATCATCAAATTCTTTAATAGTTAATATATTATACTTGTTGTAAGCAGTTTTTTCAATATAATCTGCCATTCCATTTCCCATCTCCTTTGTAATATCAATGATAATATTTTGACACCTAAAAATAAATAAATGAATCTTCTTTTATCTTATTTTTTTTATTTTGCTTTTAGAAAGGGAATATTTATATTTACTCTTTTGTAAGAAGTAGGAATTCATCGATTACGACATCAAATTCTACTAATAATTGCCGATCCTTTTCATTTTGTCCGTCTTATATTCCGAAATAATTAATCATTAGATTTCTTGGAAAAAGAAGAGACTTAAAGGATTACTTACTTTCGGTAAAAGTCCAACCTTTTTGGCTAACCTTTTCATGAAAGGTTCTTAATAATGGTATCTTTTTATCTATAGGCATTGTCATATCATCTTCAATAGTATCCATACCTCTTAAAACAAGATAAAACATACAAACCTATAAATTTAAATAATTTTTTTTGATTTCGAATTTAATTTCCTTTATTCGATCGAAATAATTTTAAGCAATATATATTACCAACCAAATCTCTATATTCTCTTTCTAATTCCATAATAATTAAAGCAAAGGATCCTGAAGTCTTTTCTAAAAATTGATAACATCGGATTTTCTTTTCACTCCAAAATGGAATTTCTTTTGATATATTACTTGATCTAAGAAATTTGTATTGTATCAATGCCGAAATTTCTGTTGGATGAAGTAATGATTTTATAAAATGTGCTGCTGCCATAATTCTCTAAGCGGCTATTCTAAAAAAAGAAAAGGTTTTTTTTTTAAAAAAAAAACCCCCCAGCTTTTAACGTTAAATAGTCAATTTAGATCTAATTTATAGATTTACCAATTATATTATTTTTGTTTTCAGTAATGCTGCCCATACATTATAAAATGGGCCGGTAATTTAGGCCAGTTGACATCTGACACCTGACGCAGTGTTGTCATGGGACATTTTTTTGGGACATAGTGTGGGACAGTCTCAAAATGTTTGGGACATCGAAAATGTACATCACTGGTCACATGGGTAATTGCTTAATGGCGTAATACCGGTCAAACTACTCGATTAAATGATCGTTCAATTCCGTTTTGTATATCGCTTTTTCCATCAACGTACAATTGATTGTTTTCCTGCAAATAGTAAACTATATTCAAGCTTTAAGACATCAAAAATGACCTCACCTTGGATTTATCCCACGATTAGACGCGACGACAATTTTGTTGAAGAGTTGCACGGTTATAATGTTCCTGACCCTTATAGGTGGTTGGAAGATCCTAATTCTGAAGAAACAAAGGTAAGAAACAGTATGAAGGAAGGAAAGTGAGCATAGAATATATTCCGTTAATGAGATAATTTATATACTATTGCGACTCTTCTACATACATATTATTTTCCCTTTTGAAGCACGAAAAAAGAAAACAAAATGGAATGTTTGCTAGAAAAATCTTGCTCTGAAAATTTTTGACTAAATAAAATTCAATTTTGTTAAAAAAATTCTCAGAACCCGATTTTCCTAGCAATTTTCCCAATATTATTTGTATCTTATATTTTTTAATTTCAACTCATTGCGGAATTATTATCATGAAGGTCTTCGTTGAAGCACAAAATGCTTTAACTTTTAAGTATCTGGAATCATATCCTTATCGAGAAAGATTTCGTCAATCGTAAGCGAAACTTCATTAATATTTTTAAACTCGCAAAGTACATGTATAACTATATTTATCAATTTGAACATCTAGGTTAACTAAAAATTTTGACTATGAAAAATATGGTTGTCCATTTAAATATGGTGATAATTATTATTATTTTCATAATTCTGGTTTACAAGCGCAAAGGTAAAAATTAAATTCTAAATTACAATTATTGTTGGCCCAAGTAAAATTTTATTTTTATTTATATGAATTTCAAATATAGTGTCTTATATCAATTGAAGAATTCATTGGATGTGCCACGTGATGAATTTTTCAATGTAATATAATCAAATATTTTTTTTTCCATTTTCGTAAGTAATTTAGATACACAAATAATAATCCCGTATCTTTTTTTTTTTTTAAATAGCCCAACACTTTTGAGGCTGATGGAACAGTTGCTTTGAATACTTATTCATTTTCCAAAGAAGGAACTTATTTTTGTTATGGTATCTCAAAATCTGGTTAGTATATATACATATACTTATATAAATATATATTAAAATGTAGAAATTGCCAATAATTCACAACAAAATTTTTATGTATTTTATTTTATAGGTAGTGATTGGGTCACTGTTCATGTGAGGAAAACTATTAATGATGATGACGGCAAGAAACCTTTTCCTGACGTTATTGAATGGGTCAAGTTTTCTGAATTTAACTGGACAATCGATGAAAAGGGGTTCTTTTATCAGGTAAAATTTATTTATTAATTATGCATTCCCTTGGTTAATTTTTTTAAATTCATTTTGATTATTTAGAGATACCCTGAACCTAATAAAACAGACGATAAAGGAACAGAGACAGATGTTAACAAAAATGCCATGGTACAAATATAATTCATTTCACTTCCCATAGAATAAATGTATTTTACATTAATATCTATTTTTTTTATTAGTTGTATTATCATCGATTAGAAACTTCTCAATCTGAGGACATTCTCATTTACAAGGATCCTGTAAATCCAGAATGTATGTTTTCTGCTGAAAGCACAATGGACGGACGATATATTGCTTTAACAGTAACAAAGGATTGTGATCCAGTAAATAAAATTTACTTTATAGATTTAGAAAAGACCAATCGCCAAATCGTTGGTGGGTAAAAATAATTCATCTTTCAATAAATTTATTTTTATTTAACATTCATTATTTTATTCTTATCAGAAAATTTCGAAATTATAAAAATTGTCGACAACTTTGATGCTCAATATATCTAGTAAGCATGAGATTACTTTTTTGTTTTATCTAAAAAGGATTTATTATTTATAATTGATTAATGACAATTTTAGTATTGCGAATGATGATTCAACATTTTATTTCAAGACGAATTTGAACGCACCCCGTTATAAAATTGTTAAATATGATTTGGCAAATCCGGAACAAGTATTTTATTTTTTCACATTTTATGTAATTTTTAGACTCCGATAGATTGATTTACTTTTTATGAATATAGGGTTTTGTTGATATCGTTAAGGAGCATCAGACTGATATACTTTCGGAGGCGGCGGTAGTAGCAGAAAATAAACTCGTTTTAACATATATGCATGATGTTAAAAATAAATTATGTATATTTGAGCATTCTACTGGACAATTTATTAAGGAAATACCTCTCGACATCGGCTGCATATTAGTTCTTACAGGCCGTAGAAAGGATCGAGAATGTTTCTTTAAATTTGTTAGCTTTTTGAATCCTGGAATTATTTACCGTTATGATTTCGACAAAGATTTGTTGTCTGTGTATAGGAAAACAGAAGTCGCAGGAATAAATATAGATAAAATGGAAACCAAACAAGTTTTTGTTGAAAGTAAAGATAAGGAAAAAATACCTATTTTCATTATAGCACCAAAAGTAAGGTTAATTCATTGATTTCTTCTACATTTTCTGATTTAATTGTTTCTAATAACGCGTTATTTAATTAGAACATTAATCTTGACGGAAATAATCCTACTTACTTATACGGTTATGGAGGATTTAATATTAGCCTTACGCCTTCGTATACTGTATCTTGGTTAAGCTTTATTCAACATTTTAATGGGGTGGTGGTTTCAGCTAATCTTCGTGGAGGTGGCGAATACGGAGAAAAGTGGCATAAAGCCGGTTGTCAGGCCAATAAGCAGAATGTTTTTGATGATTTTCAGGTAAATTGTAAAGATACTTAAAGCCGTAATTTCTATAATAAATATTATTTTGTTATTGTTTAGGCTGTTGCCAAGTGGTTGATAAATAATAAAATCACGTGTACAGAAAAATTAGCAATCAATGGTGGATCTAATGGAGGTCTCCTCGTAGGTGCATGCATTAATCAGGTATATATTAGAGATTACAAATAATTTATTTAATTTGTTATTTTTTTTCCTACTTTCTAATATATTTTTTTTATCATTCAAAAAGGCACCAGAACTCTTTGGAGCAGCGGTTGCTGATGTTGGTGTTATGGATATGTTAAGATTTCATAAATTCACTATTGGTCATGGTTGGCGAGGTGATTATGGTGATCCAGATAAAAAAGAAGATTTTGAGTATATTTATAAGTATGTATATTTAATGCTTTCTTAATTTGTTAAGGTTTGAGAATGTACTTACAAATATTGACTTATTTCCATTATTTTAGGTATTCCCCTGTTCATAATGTCCAATCGGAAAAGCCCTATCCATCAGTATTATTGACAACTTCAGATCATGATGATAGAGTGTAAATATTTTTATTTTTTATTTTTTTGAGTGATATTATAAACTTTATATAATATTTATCATTGTTTCACTTTATAGGGTACCTTTACATTCTTATAAATATATATCCCAATTGCAATATGTCGGAAAAAATAATCCTCATCCCTTGATGATCAGAATTGATATTAAGGTATGAAAATTTAACTATAATATGCTGAGAACTATAATTAAAATAATATTATTTTATCATTTTATAGGCCGGACATGGGGCCGGAAAACCTACGATGAAGAGGGTAATTATTAATTAAATTTAAATTCTTTATCAAGTACCTACGAAGAAAGTACTAAATATTGTTATATTTTATAGATTGATGAATCAGCCGATAAATTTTCTTTTATTGCTAAGTCAATTGGTGCTAAATGGGTTGATTGATTATTTTTCAATTTTTAAAAACTCAAATGATTATAATAATTAATAGAATCTTATTGATCGTTTATTAATTTAGCATATAAAAAGAATTTATTATTATTAATAAATAATCTTTAACACTGATTCTTTTTATTCTGTATATATAATATTAAGATTTAATATATAAATTAATATATTATGCAATATAATTTCAACTGTCTATGCCTAATAAATCTTATTAAGTTAATCTTTATTTTTAAATGATAGATAAATCTTATATAATGAATTTAGAATACTTTCATTATTTTTGAACAGATTGCATATTCTCCTTGATGATTTTTGACGAATATGATGATTTTTCTAAACAATTATATATTATTATAATATAAATAATATATCAATTAAGTTTAAAGATCCATTTATTATATATGAATATTGGATCAAGAAATCTAGAAATTGCTTGAGTAATTTCATTTTGATTGTAAAATTATTTTACAGAAATCTTAAAAATCCTAACAATATATTCTAATATTATATTGATTTTTTAACAATATCAAATCAACTTCTTTTTCAATTCCCTAAACTGTCAATCAAGATTACAGAGATCCTGATCTCTACACACATATAAAATATTTAATCCTCCTTTTCCTTTTTTTTTAGTAAAATAGCACATTACATCAAGTTCACTAAAAATTTATGGTAATAGGCCACAGTCACGTTTAATGAAGGTACAGATATGTTCCAATTTGACTATGTAAATAGATATTCGTTCTTAAAGACATGTCAGAGTTTATTATTGTATCCTAACTAATAATGATATTAGAGACAAATCAAAATTTTACTTAAACTAATCAACCTTCCAAAAAACACAAATAGATGACAACTTATTTTTATCAGAAAAGTTATCAAAGCCACAGTCTTTGTCATTCCAAATCCAAATTTAATTACAGTAACTTGCAATATACTATATTCTATTTTAAGAATGATAAAGATTAGCAAATAGCGTAAAATAGCGATACTATTTATCTTGATTGTAAATGACTTATTTGGATAGACATATCTAGTAAACTTTGCTTTATCTGCTTAATAGTAGAATATCACTCTGATAACTGTAGAAAAGTGAAACAAATCCTCAAAGATAAACAAATGCAGGATTTGTATCAAAAATATTAGCCTACTCAGTTCAAAAATTATATTATGCTAACTAAACCTGTTTCTAAATCTATCTCTTTCACTTACGTGACATATAAGGGAAAAGGAAATATATCTAATAACTCTGAACTATTATTTAAAAATATACTACTAAGACTAATCCCAATAATGATCATAAATGAATAGATAAATCCTTAAATGTAAGTATCTATGTTTATGACAATTGGACAGATAAATCAGAATCTCTTCACTCAGTATCCAAAAGTTATCTAAAATTATAAACGATATACCAAATTATAGGCAACTAGATAAAATTGACTTTTTAATAACAAAACTTGATGTAATCTTTACTCAATTAGATCAATTACATGAAAACCTAATAAAAGGGTTACAACTATAGAAACTTTCTTAAATGTATATTCTACTTTCCCTAAATAGGTTGTTACTATTAATGTCTATTCCACTGGTAAAATAATGGAGAAAAATGATTATGTAATGTGAACGAATAAAATATGATAGGACCTACGTGGCACAGATGATTGACAAATCTGACAAATCTGACATATATGACATATCTGACATGATCGACAAATCTGACATATATGACAT